ACACACACACACACACACACACACACACACACACACACACACACACACACACACACACACACACACACATTGAAATCGTTCTATTGATTAGCTAAAAAAAATGGTGTTTTTCTGGAGCTATTTTTTGAGCTATTCTTTGAACTTGAGGTAGCTTCGTGTAGCGNGAGTTGTATCTAACGATTTCGAATAACATTCTATATTTTTCATTATTAGTGGCTTAAAGATTTCCGAAATATTTATGTTTAAATTATAAATATAAATGTATTTGTGTATATATTATAGTGTTTAGTTTACGCATATAAATAAGTCTTTTTGATAAACTTGAAATATCATAACATTAATAACGCGCNAACCATCGTTTATATTGCCATCATTAAATATCCTAAATTGTTTAAAAAATACGTTAATAATTGAGTTGTATCTAACGATTTCGAATAACATTCTATATTTTTCATTATTAGTGGCTTAAAGATTTCCGAAATATTTATGTTTAAATTATAAATATAAATGTATTTGTGTATATATTATAGTGTTTAGTTTACGCATATAAATAAGTCTTTTTGATAAACTTGAAATATCATAACATTAATAACGCGCGAAATACTTGGTAATTTTCAATTTTTATAGAAACCGGGACTAGTACTATTCATATGTTTTGAAATAATATTTATTTACATAATCTTCCATTATTAATAATTTTAAAATTGCATTAGCTCTTTCATATATTACTGCAAATCACTCCCTGGTCAGTTGTTAAATTTATTACAATTAACTCGTAATTGCAGGTGGTTATTGAACCATGATCCTAGTCAACGACCTACATCTCAAGAACTTCTCTCTTCGGAATACCTACCTCCCCCACGTCTCGAAGAAACCGAATTACAAGAAATGATTCGGCGCACATTATCCAACAATCAGAGCAAAGCTTATAAATATTTAATTTCTTGTTGCTTTACCCAAGAAATCACACCAGCCGACGATATTACATACGATATGAATTTACCTAGTAGAGGCTACATAAACTTCCTGTCTTGGAAAAAATACCAAGAAGGAGTGAAATGCAAAGTAATTGAAATTTTTCAGAGGCACGGCGGTGTTCATTTAGACACACCGCTTTTGATGCCAAAGTCGCGTCAGTTTTATAGTTTTACAGATTCCGGTGTTAGATTAATGACTCGTAGTGGAAACATTGTTTGCATACCTCACGATTTACGTGCACCTTTCGCAAGATACGTGGTATGGAATAATGTGCTGCATATAAGAAGATACGCTATCGAAAAAGTTTTTAGAGAGAAGAAGGTATTTACAAATTTTCGTTTACATTGTAAACAACTACCTCTTCTGTCAACCACTTCTTAATAAAACTGGCATTTAATTGTCAATAACATAGGCTTACAATTTTAAATAATAAAGTAGCAGCAGTCCTCAAAATTCCCCTGAAAACTACATACTAATTGATAAATGTTTAAATTTCATAGGTTCTGGGCTTTCATCCTCGAGAACTTTATGAATGTGCATTTGATATAATAAGTCCAACTGCCAATAATTTCTTAATGGAAGCTGAATTGATACACATTGTCTGGGAAGTCATCAATGAACTACCTCAATTACAAGAACGAAATTTCACTATCCGCCTGAACCATACTTCATTATTGAAAGCTGTATTAATATACTGTGGAATCGATCCAGAAAAATATCATGACATTTATTCAATTTTACGGGACGCACGCGATGGAAAGTTTTCAAGGTTTCAAATCCAAACACATCTAATAAGTCTTTGTCTGACTGATCAAGCAATGGAAACGTTATTTAATTTACTTGAGACTGAGAGTTCTATCGCTAAGATTCATAGTGTGTTGAAAACTATAACAAAAAGGAAAGGAGATGCTGCTGCATTAGCTAAGGAGGGTTTAAAAGAAATTGAGACTGTAATGGAAAATATTGAATCGTTAGGCATTAAGGTAAGACATTACATTATAATAGAATTAGGCATGTTTCAAATAATAAATTTGAAAAATAGATATTTCGGTAATATATTACTTGTTTTTACTAGATTATTTTATTATGTAACTACCAAATAAAATATCTTTGATATACTTTTTATTTTCTATTTTAATACACTTCTATTGAAATAACTTTTCTAATACTTCGTAGTGAAAGTTTTTCTTAAATACATGACCATACTAACATGATCTGCACCTGAGAAGAAGTTGTTTTCATTTGCTAGAATAATAGATTTCCACAGTGTAGATGTCTTCTGGCAATATTTTTTAAGTTTAATTTCAAAT